TAATTAAGACTTTGGGAAAGCCTTTCCCCCGGATAAGCAAAAAGAACGCTGACAAAAACAGTGAAAACCAACTTGTTCAGAACTCTGGAAATTAACCAAAGGCTTCTACCAATCCAGGGAGTGTTTAAGAAAAATAGCTGAATCTCAGTGAGAACAGTGACCTTTGTGGCATTTTAACATTCCCTCGTCCCATCCCTCTGCGCTCTGCCAGTCCAGTAGTCTTTAAAAACCATTCACCCCGCAGTCATGGTGAAAGCCAACAGCCTGGAGGGGACAGTACAGTTGGAGCTCCTTAAAAGCCCAGTTTCCAATTAACTGTCATTATTTGACCTGTGTGGCTACTCCCTAGAAATTTCCACTAGCAAGGCTTGTCTTTATTTGACCTGACTTAGAACCCATGCAAATGGACTTTCACTGAGGGCATTTGTCTAAATCAGCTGCAAATGATTAATATTTTAGCAGCCTTGAGGCAGCAATAACAGTTGGGCAAGCAACAAGCTGACCAAAAACCTTAAAAGGAATTCCTAAAGAATTACGTGCACAGGGGGTTTTGAAATGTTTGACATATTCCTGGGAATCTAGAAAGCCATGCAGATACTTAGTGCTGTGCACATGTGTTACTGGCACCCGGGGTTCTTGCAATCTCCCAGGATGGAAATCAGAAATCACCACAAGAAGAAAGTTCAGGCAAGAGCAAAGGTTTATTAAGCTTGTGCGCAAGGGAACCAACACCGAGAAAGAAAAGGTTTGGATGGCTCCTGGAGAGAAGTCGGGACAGGGTTTTAAAGGGAGCTAGGTTGCGTGAAGGCTACATCTAGGCATGTGATGATGGCAGAAGTTTCTTGGGGTCTACACACTGCGACTACATGCTTCTTCATGCACTGCATGTCTCCTTAGCATGGTCTCTCCACCCCTAGGCGTGATTTCTAGTACTTGAATTAGGGAAAGGTCACCTCAGGGACACTCTTGGGCCTTATTGCTCATGCACGGTGGGCAATGAGCAATAAGGCCCAAGAGTGTCCCGAAGGTGACTGTCCCTTGTTGCTGGTGTGCCTCCCAAGACTTCTTGATGCTGATCAGTGGTACCCTAGGGCAGATATTCTTGTGAAACTTATCAGGCTCCAGCAGCTGACCTTTCCGACCGACTCAACAGCAGGAAGTTGCCCTCTTGTCTCATGGACAGGGCTGTGTATACAGCCAGGCAAGACCTGAGAAGACCCTAAGCTCTCACCTCTGTCTGACCTTGAGGCCTTTCTGAACAAACAGAAAGGCTAAGGAGGAGTTATAAACTACCTGACTGGGCACTGAAGGTGTGCCACTGCTATGCACAGGGCCCCTCAGCAAAGGCTGGGAAACTCACTGGTTCTAGGAATTTAAGGAATTCTTTGCCCAGACATTAGTTGACTGCAAAGCTAACCAAAAGAGAAAGCAATTACATTTATAATAACATCAAAAAGAATACTTAGAAATAAATTTAATAAAAGTAAAGACTTCTACTTTGATAACTATAAAACACTGCTGAAGGAAATGAGAGAGGACCCAAATACAGAGAAAGATACTCCATGTTCATGTAATAGAAGACAGACTAAGAGAGCAATGCTGCTCGAATTCATATAGAGTCAACACAATCCCTACCAAAACTCAAGCTTCCATTATTGCAGAAACTGACAAGCTAATCTTAAAATTCATATGAAAACACAAGAAACCCAGAATATCCAAAATAATCCTGAAAAAGGAAAATGAAGTTGGAGAACTCACATATCCTGATTTTAAAACTTAATACAAAAACTATATTAATCAAGATGGTGTGGTACTGACATAATGAGAAACATGGAGATCAAGGGACTAGAACAGTGAGTCCAGAAGTAAACTCTCACATTATGAGCAACTGACTTTCAATAAGGGTGCTATTGAAAATGGGGAAAGATAAAGTTGGACTCCTACTTCACACCATATACAAAATCGAACTCAAAGTAGATCAAAGATCTAAATGTAAAAGCCAAGGCTATAAAATTTTGAAATGAAAACACAAGTGTAAATCTTCATGTCTTTGATTTAAGCGATGGTTTCTTATTTATAGCACCAAAAGCACAAACTACAAAAAAAAAAAATAAACTGGACATCAATCAAACTTTGTGCTTCAAAGGATACCATCAAAAAGTAAAAAGACTACCAGAATCGAAGAAAATTATTGCAAATCATGTATCTAATAAGGGACTTATATCTAGAATACATGGAGAACCATTATAACTCAATAATAAAAAGACAACCCAATTTTTAAAAGTGCAAAGGATCTGAACAGATATTTCTCTAAAAAAGATATATGAAGGGCCAGTAAGCACACGAAAAGATGCTCAACATCATTAACCAACAGGGAAATGCAAATCAAAACCACAAAGAAATGCTACTTCATTCTTAACAGGAGGGCTGAAATGAAAAAGACAGACAATAACAAGCCTCTTTCAGTACTGGTGGGAATGTAAAATTGTGTAGCTGGTGTTTTTGGAAAACCATTCCTCAAAGAGTTAAACATGGAGTTAGTATACGATCCAGCAATTTCACTTATATATTTACCAAAGAGAAATGAAAATTTTTCCACACAAAAACTGGTACATAAATTTCATAGCAGCATTATTCATAATGGCCAAAAAGTGGAAACCATCTAAATGTCCATCAACTCATAAATGGAAAAGTGTGATATAGTCATATAATGGAATATTATTCAGCAATAAAAAAAAAAAAAAAAAATGAAATACTGATACAGCCTACAATATGGATGAACTTTATGGTAAGCCAAAATACCACATATTGTATGATTTTACTTATATGAAATATACAGAATAGGCAAATCAATAGAGACAGAAAGTAGATGAGTGGTTTCTTGGGGCTGGAATGGGTCAGGTGTATAGGGAGGTGAGAGCTAAGGAGTACAGAGTTTGTTAAGGGCAATAAATATATTCTAAAATTGATTGTGGTGATGGCTGTGCAACTCTGTAAATATACTAAAAGCCATTAAATTGCATATTTGTATGTCTATTACATCTCAATTAAAAAAATTGTATACCTTAAAAGGGTGAATTTTTTAGCATGTAGACTATATGTCAATTTTTTAAAATGTTGTCCTTAGTTAACTACTAGTCCTTTATACCATCAATTTAACAGAATTAAAATGATTAGGAAGTAGTTTCCACCAGTACTTGATAACTCATGCTACTTTTCAACTATATTTTTAAATAAGATGAAAATAAAGTTAAGAGGTGGGAGCCATAATAATCTTTCCTAGGTCTGTCTATCCAAGAAAGCAATTACTCTTCTTTCTTTCACTTACTAGTACATGTAGGCAACTGCTTCTGATCTTTCATTATTTCCTCTTCTTTGATATTTTTACAAAACAGTCATTTAGCAAGTTTCCATAAAGACTGACTCATTCAATTTTGAAAGTTTATTTTCATGAATAGGAAGATGTTTTTAGACCCTTGCAGTGGAAACCCGATTTACTTGAAGAGGGAAGAAAAACAAACCCAGTTAAATAAACTGCTAAGAGTATAAAACCACTGTTAATTTTTGCCTTGTAGAATGTTATTTTACAACAATTTATAAAACACTATCTGCAACAAGGAAGAACTGGCCCTTGTTCAAGATATGGAAACAAATATGCTTGTTGAGAATTAAGAATCTCCATATAAGTCACCCAAGATATCCCATTTCATTAAACCCCAGAGCTCCCTGGCCCTTTATTAAGCACCAAACGTTGCTGTTCTCTTCTCCACCATTTTAAAAGCACAAGTAAAGCAAAGCTGATTTTAAGAAACACATCCTTTATACACCCCAAAACCAGCAATACAATCTCAGGTAGCCACTTCAACCCCCATAGGTAAAATTATTTAAGTCTACAAGACAAGTGACTGATGCTTTAGTTGATCCTGTAAAATCCTCAAGACGCAGAAAAGTCTCATTGGGGCTTCAAACAGTAAGAAAACTAGCAATATGTGCCAAAAGTAAACAAATCTAACAATGAATCAAGGAAGACAGACGTAGTGTTATTACCCTTGAAGATGGCTCTCAGGAATGCTCCAACAGCTTCTCCTTTCACTGCCTCACTCTGAAGGAGGTTAACCAGCTGCAATCAAAAACAGAAAGTTTCTGGCAACAATTTATTCCAACAACCTAAACTCAACGTAAAAAACACTCATCTATCAGGGTCATATCCTTCAGAGACTCCAGGATCACAAATAACATTTATTTAGAAAGACCAAGGTAGGTCTTAACATAAAGCTGAGCTGTCAAAACTGAAACTTATTCATACTACAAACATTTATTGAGCACTTAATCGGTACTTAATTTATTGAACTACGTTCTTAGGAATACACATTGATTCAACAAATATTTTGATCATGTTCTTTTCCCTAGGCACTGAGGATACAAGGATGAACAAGATGGGCATGACTCAGAGTTTATAGGAGAGCAGGAGGGGAAAAAGTGACAGAAAAAAAATCAGAAAAAAAAAAAATCTAAAAATAAAACAAATCAAAGGGTGAGATAGACAATGAGCAAAGGGAGACAATTTCAGCTACAGTAGGTTCATCTGAATGAGATTCTTCTCCATGCAGGGATCTGAGTAAGCTGAGATCACTTATTATGGAAAAAAAGAAAAGCTTATCAGTAGAGTAAAAAGATTAGGCACAATAAACAGCCTAACATAATTATTGTCCCATTCTGTAATCATATACTTAGTGAAGAGACAGTTGGTTTTCTCTTACTAATATTTTCAAAATATTTAATTGCTTATGAATTTATCTTCTTTAGGGAAAAATATAAAGGAAAAAAGAAAGAGAAAGAAAGCATCAATAGGCAAAGCCAATGTCTCAATTAATAGCTATAGACTGATTACCTTCAAATAGGACTATTCTTAAGAACCATAAAAGTATACCCAGTTGCATAAATATTATCTAAATGTTATATAGTTGTTTAAATGTACACAAATGCCTGTAAGTTGTCCTCTCCCCCAGTTCTTTACATCTATGAGCTGTTATCAAATAAATCCTTGTCTCCTGAGGAGAGTGGAGAGTAGATGAAGCGGCAGAATAATTGTTCTAACATGTCCTCTGAATCTGTCATCATGTTTGACATCTGCTTTCAGCAGAACATGCTTCCTAGCACTCACATCATCTTCTTTCAGGGTTTGAAGAAATTCCTGCAGTCTGTCTACTGATTTTCCTGCTGCCAGAGACAGAATTTTCTGGTCCATTGTTGCACATATCAGGAAACTGGAAGGCAAAAATGTCAGCGCTGATGAAACTTCCAGAAGTAAACAAGTTTGAATTTTTTTCCCCTTCCCTACCTTTTAACTGAGTACTTCGTACATATTACAGACAACGTACAAAGTGCATACTCAACAGGCAAGGAACTACTAACTAGTATGAGGAGGTGATTCTTATACAATCAAAATAATCTTGACAATTCTCTGGAATTTCTTTATTAGAAACTTGTATTCTAACCAAGTGGATTCATAATTTTGCCAACATTTTACTGTATTTTTTAGCATCTACCCAGAACACTGCCTATAACAAAGCTGTCATTTAACAGTATATCACATATATAATAAATTGTCATATCTAAACAAGAATACGTGTAAGCACATAATAAAGTAACATTTGATAAATGAATAAACACCACTGTAAATGCGAAGTGTCAATTAAATGGTATAAAAACAAATTAACAAGACTAAGGAAATAAATGTGTTCAAATATTAAGGCTTCCTAGCAGAAGAAAGCTTTAACTGGAACTTAGTGACTAAATTTAGATAATCAAAATAACCAGATGGTGTTCGTTATACATTATCGGGAAAGAAAATATCATAAACAAAGGCATTCATATGCGAATCTGAAAAACTTTTATTTGGGGAAATTGGGCAGACTGCCTGAGTTCAAGTAGGGGAGGAGTAATAGGTAGGAAGCCTAGAAAGATGCCTTGGGAAAAAATACTGTGCGAGGTTTTAAATGCCAAGTTAAAGAATTTAGAATGTATTCTGCAAGTGATCGCAACCGAAATTTTTGGAGCAAAAGAGAATCTGACAAGAATGAAACAGAATCCGAAGAAACTGAATCTGACATCAAGGTGCAGATTAAGGTGGGAAGTACGGAGAAGGAGCAGAGGCTAGGAGGTTACTGGGGCTATTTCGGTGTGGTAGTGACACAGACATATATTAGGGTTAAGGGAAATTTCTCGGACGCAGGAGCTGAACCTTGATGGAGGGAAAAAATTTAACGGGAGGGCTGACGTACAGCACGCCCGGGGGGAGGAATCTGGGAAAGCTCCGGGACGCGGCGGGAGAAGGCGGCGCACGATGGCCTTCCAGGCCACAGAAAACACCAGAGCCTTCCTACCCTCACAGGCCCGCTCCCTCCTCCCCGCTCCCTCCTCCACGGCGCTGAGTCCCAACGCCCGGGCCGCGCGCGAAGGCGCTGGACACAGTTACCTCAGCCTCACCGCACCACAGACTTCCAAAAAGCCCGCTCAACCTCCGACCGTCGCACTTCCGTCGCCCAGAACAACAGGTCCCGCCCCGCGGCTCACTTCCGCCCGCTGGGCGCCGGCGGTGGACTGTACCATTAAGGCGAGGTGGGGGGAACCGTCGGGAGCGGACGTTCCACTCACAGTCCGGGGAGGCGCGGCCTGAGAACTCGAATTCGGGACCGCAGAGTAAGCATGCGCAGTGTGGCCTAGGCGTACCGGGGGCGAGGTCTTGACTGGTTAAACCTTTCTTGTGTCCCACTGGGGCAAGGGGGAGGGCCCACAGGTTTTTGCATTGGAATCCCCTAGAAGTCAGAGGCAGGTGTCCTACTCCATGTGCCAGTAAGGTAGGTGCCTATAACCCACTCAGATATGAGACCTGTGTGGCCCTGGGGCTTTATGTGGTTCCCCATGCGATTTCCTAGCATTTAGCACATAACCTGGCAAAGCAGCAAATGCTCAGTAGATATTTGTTAAATGAACAACAAAGAGCAAAGAGCAGCGCAGGAAAGGTCAGAGAGTCTACAGTCTACTTTGGGTTGCAGGAGCAACTTATGCAAAGGGCCTTGGAACAACAAATGAGTGACCCTGGCTGGTTCCGGAAGTGACGGTGCTTGGGATGAGAGAGCAGGGGCTAAGTCCTTTTCACATCAGAGGACGTGGGGAACAGCTGAAGTAGAAGGACCTGATTGTATTCACATTGTAGAACCATAACTCTGGCAGGTGAGTACCTAGGGATTGTTGAAAAGATGGTGGGGGTGGGGAGGACTGAAGGCAGGACCCCTTAGGAGGCTGGCTATAAGCTGTTCGGGAGATAGGTGGTGGTGGCCCAAATAGTGACTGTGGAGACAGGTAGAAAGGAGTGGACCAAGCGTAAAAGAGATTAGGAAATAGAGTGAACCTGGCTTGGAGAGATACGAGAGGAGTTGAATATTCAAGCTCGAGTGATGGGGGGCAGTGATCCTGCCGGTTGACTGACACAGGGAGCAGAGGAATAGGTAGCCACAGGTTTTGGGGGTGATGATGAGGCCTTCAGATTTGGACGTGCCAAATGTGAGGTGCCCATGTAATGGCATGTGAAGGAATGCCAAGGAGTCAGTCTGGAGCGTGGCTCCGAGTCCCCAGGAGAGGGCTGGGTCTGCTTGGCCAGTTCTGTAAGAAACATGGCTGCCGGAGGAGAGTGATGGCTCTCAGCTGTCTAGGCCCGCTCCTCGCCTATGACCCTCTTAAGCACTTTTTCCTTCCACTACGTTTCTGTCCCAATATTGAGCTGTAATATGTGGCTAAAACACAGAAGGTGACGGAAGATTATTCCTGAGAGAAATCCTTTAGCTTGCCAAGGAAAGAGATGACTACCTCATCTTCTCCCTACATAACCTCCCTTACAGGCTGCTTCCTTAAAAACTGGCCCCTCACAATTGGCAATATTTGATGAAGGTTTATAGATTATCCAATTGTATTATATCGGTGTTCGTTTTCTGATTTTGACAATTGTGCTGTGGTTAATTTAAGAGAATATCCCTGTTTTTAGGAAATGCACCCTGAAGTATTTAGGAGTAGAGAAATATCATGTCTGCAACATATTCTAAAATGGTTTAGAAAAAAATAACATAGTCACACATATATATTCAGAGAAAATGATAAAGCGAATGTAAAATGTTAACATCTAGGGGAAAGGGCATATGGGAATTCTTTGTACTAATCTTATAATTTTTCTGTAAATCCGAAATTAAGACCAAATAAAAAGTTTTAAAACACCAGCCCACCTGTGAACCTAGTAAACTGCTCTGGCTTATAAATAAGCAGCCAACCGGGCCTTTGAGGGGCCACCTCTCCACTTCACCCCCTTTCTGCTGACATCCTAGATGGCTGCAAAACAGAAGCGGATTGTCCATCCTACATGGGGACTCTTGGCTGCTCCTCTCCCCATCTCCGTGACTTTCTCACCCACGTCACCTCAGCCACTCACTCTCCCGCTCACGTCCTGAACCACCTCCCAGATCACTATTCCGACATCAACTTCCCATTTGTCCAGTTTACGCTCCCATTTACCTACTCTCTAATCGTCACTGTCCCCCAGTCCTCCGCCATCTTTAATTCCAAGCTTTAATAGTCCAGCCCCATTTCTGCCAGTACCCTCACCTTGCCCCACTTGTCTGTCCTTCCATTCCCATCTATCCTGCAAACTCTAACTCTGTATGAAACCAGCCCCGTTCCTTTGTTGGAGCTATACCTGGGCTGTTGGGTCGTGCTGGAGAATTCGCATGACTGTGTTCATGGGTGCCCCGAAAAAGTCACTGCAACCAACCTCAACGGGGCCTTCGACACTGCCAGACAATCTTCCCTCGTACATTTATCCTTCCTTTCTTCATGAGGATTATTTCCGTTTTTTTCTATCTCCTCCTTCACTCTCAGCAGATGACTTCAACTTTCCCACCAAATCTGTAAACTCACTGTTATCAGCACCAATCCTGTCCTTCGGCTCCACGTAGCAATGAGAGAGTTTTCCGCCATCCAGGCCGAGGCTGGCACCTCCTGGGGGGCACTGAGCCCCCACCCCCTTCCATCTTCTCAGCAAGGACCTGACCGGTCGCGTAACCTCTCTCGGGCCTTAGTCTTAGTCTTTAACCTCTCCCTTCCTACAGCTTCCCTCCTATGTGTACCGCCCGAACGCAGTGCCGTCGAGTGGGTGCCTTAAACAACGGACACTTATTTTCTCACCGTTCTGGAGGCTGGAGGTATGAGATCAGGGGTCAGCGTGGTCAGGTTCTGATGAGCCCCCTCTTCCTGGTGTGCAGATGGCTGCCTCCTGTGTGCTCACAAGGCCTTTCTCAGTGTTTCCAGGTGTCTCTTCCTCTTCTTATAGGGGCCCTAATCCCATCCACAGCCCCACCCTCATGACCTCATCTAAATCTAATTACCTCCCCAAAGTCCCACCTCCTAACCATCACACTGGGGGGTAGGGCTTCAGGATATGAATTTGGGGGAGACATCCAACAAACATTCGTAATAAACACTTCCATCTTTTCCTTTGGTGGTGGGAGTTAAAGCCAAGTTCCCCATCGAGAGCACCTATTTGTTCTCCTTCATATTGTTCAACCTACTTACTTCTAAAATATTCTAATAAGCGTACTCATTGATTTTATTTTCCTACTCCTCATAGCTTGAGTTTCCGGCACCCCCACCCCCCACTTCCACAGGGCAGACCTCCTTTGTGGAATGAGTGTGCCTCCTAGGGGAGCTGGAGCCCATGTTAGTTGGGGCAGTCCCGTTACCACTGAGTTATTTTAAGGAAGGTGCAGGACGTCCCTCGACCTAGGTTTTCCCATTTCTCAAAGGAAGGGTTGAGGCCCGGAAATTTTTTAGGGTCCTCCCTAGCCAGGGAGAATTATTACTAGCCCAAGAGGGCAGTGACTAGACTCTGGCCCCCCTGGGGCTGCTCCCAGGAAAGTGAGGCGACATCACCTTCCTTCCCCGGGAGCCAGGGGCAGATGTGACTTCCCTGGGCAGTCACACCTGTGTGGCTCTCATTTTTGCAAGAGGCGGGGCAGCCTTGTGTGTTGAATGATGACAGTGCTTTAGAGTGACCCGGTCTCCACTCCTTACTAGCTTTGTGGCTTCAGACAGGTCCTTTCCTCTCTCAATTTCCTATTCTGTAAAAAAGGGGGATTATACTCTCTGCCTCACACCTGGAAGGACTAGATAATGCTGGTAGGGCACCTGCCACAGTACAGAATGGGGGCACAGCAAATGCAAGGCCCCTCCCTCCCTATCCCCAGCCTGGCAGAGAGAGCCTGAGAGCCCACGGTTGTCTGCCAATGTGGCCAGCACAGGTGTCCAGGCCAATGAGGGCAGCGTCTCCCCTGACACAGTAGCACCATTGTTCCAGCTGGAGGAGCCAGGCATGAACGTGACTCTTGGGAGGGGGAAGGGCAGGGCAGAGGCAGGAGAAGGGCTGTGAGCAGAAGATAATGCCGAAGAAAGCTCTGCTCCCTAAAAAGGGCCTCGTGGCCTGCAAGCGCCTTGCAAAGCTCTGTGCAGCCCACTCCGGTCAAGGCTGTGCCATTAACTCAAATGTGTTTCTGCTGTACAGGAATAGGAATGTTCTTCGTGACAGAGTCCATCACCCAGCTTTGCCAGAGCCTCTCCTGGCCTACTGCCATTATCTCCCATGAGCCTCACACCCAATGAAGTACCTGGGGAAAAAAATCCAATATCCCACCTATGTTTGCTCAAGCTATCAAAAATAAGTACTACAGAATGAGTGGCTTAAACGACAGAAATTCATTTCCTCACAATTCTGCAGGCTGGAAATCCAAGATCAAGGTGTCAGCGGGGCTGGTTTCTTCTGAGGCCTCTCTCCTTGGCTTGCAGGTGGCGTCTTCTTGTGCCTTCACATGGCCTTCCCTCTGTGCGTGTCTGTGCTCTGCTCCATTCTTATAAGGACACCAATCATATTGGATTAGGGCTAACCCTGATGACCTAAATTAAATTACTTCATTACCTTTTTAAAGACCCTATCACCAAATACAGTCACATTCTAAGGTACTAGGTGATAGGACATTAGTACGTGAATTTGGGGAGAACACAGTTAAGCCCATAACACCATTTTACAGGTGTAGCAACTGACACCTGAGAGGGTCAATGGCTTCTGGTCGTCAGGGCCAGGACGAGAATCAGATCAGGGGACCCTCCCTCTCTGTCCTCCTTCCTCTGCTTCCCCATCCCCAACTGGGCCACCAGTGCCCAGAAGAGGAACAGGATGGTGGGCAGGGGGCATCCTCAATCTACTCCGCCACCATCCTCAGAGCTGATGAGCAGTGAGAAGTCAGGGGCAGGCAGAAGGAGGAGAGGGCCAGAACCTCTCTGGGACAGAGAGCTCTCAGACCCGTACAAAGCACATGGAGGCCCTGCGAAGCTGCAGGTTCTGATTTAGCCTGTCTGAGGAAGGGCCTGAGACTCTGCATTTCCGACGAACTCCCAGATGATTCTGCTGCTCTCGGTCTTTGGGCCACACTTCAAGGAGCAGCAAGGTTTAGACCAGCCCGGTCCGTTAGAAATATAATGGGAGCTGTTAAACTAAAATTAGAAAAAATTTAATTTTCTAA